GCGTTTTGGGGGGCGGGGGCGGACTGGTGGTGTTGTCGGGGGAATCTACATCCAACATGAGGATGAGGGGCTGAGAAAGGATCTGTTCATGTTCTGCTTAAATCTCCTGTAGTTTCTTTCAAAATACCACAAATCTCTTCTTGCAGTTTCAGCCGGGGCTCAGAGTCAGGGCCAAAGTTCAAACAACATCAAAGTTTATTTTTGAAATAAAGGTTTATTTCCTCATGGAATTCTTGAAGGGTTTGCCCTGCATGTCTGTGAAGCATTGAGTTTGGGCTGAAAGGAATTTATTTTAGGACCTTGAGCCGTCTTCGGCTTACACGCCTATTGCCCTAGGAGGTGATTGATGGCTGTGTAAGTTTCCAGTCCAGCCCTGGGGGCCCAGCTCTGGGGCATTCCCCTCCCCACTCTGAAGGCTGCCTCAAGGGCAGAAGTCTGCTTTCTCCTCTCAAATCGAGGCACTGACGGGAGGCACTGACGGGAGGCACTGACCTGTCCCACTGTGTTCTGAGTAAGGTGCTGATAAGCATTGACTTTTATCTGCATTGTTGATTGCATCCTGGGATCCCTTCTGATTAAAGGCTAAAAGCCACCGGTTTGTTTTCTTCGGCTGCTTTCTTAGGGCCTGAGGAGGTAGGTTACTTGTATTCTTAACTGTAGAGCCAAGCGTTGAAATACTGAAAAGGATAAATGACATTAAAAAAAAAAGAGTCGATCTAGTATTTGCCGATTCTTGTCAGTTTCTCTTGGTGCAGACACTTAGCACCAGGGAACAAGGCGATGTTGACATTGGGACTGAGGAGCAGCCTTTTTATCCCCTACTGGCTGTATATATATTTTTTCATTCATAGGGAAAGTATCTGCATTGAGTCTCATGGCAAGAGGGTGTTGAGGGTAGAATGTATGTTCTTACAACTTCTTTTCTTTTTTTTTTTAAAGATTTTATTTATTTATTTGACAGACAGAAATCACAAGTAGGCAGAGAGGCAGGCAGAGAGAGAGGAAGGGAAGCAGGCTCCCTGCTGAGCAGAGAGCCCGATGTGGGGCTCTATCCCAGAACCCTGGGACCATGACCCGAGCCGAAGGCAGAGGCTTTAATCCGCTGAGCCACCCAGGTGCCCCTGTTTTTACAACTTAGATAAAACAATTGTCTGACTATAGAGGAATGCCAAGGGAAAAAAAATGGCATTGCTGCTTGGCTTCCAAGATGCTACCATCTGGGCAAATTTGAGAGGTAGCAACATGGGGGCACCTTTCTTGGTTCTCATCCTGAAATAAGACCGAGGGCTATGCTGGGAAACTGGGGAGGTGGCATGTGTGCTCATGAATTTTCATTTTGCTGCTCTGGAGATTGCCCACTTGGAGGAAGAGAAATGGCATAGCCTAGGTTACTTATTTATGCCTTCAAACTCCAGTTTAAAAAAAAAAATTAAAAAGATTTTATTTATTTATTTGAGAGAGAGAGAGAGAGCATAAGCAGGGGGAAGGGCAGAGGGAGAAGCAGGCTCCCTGCTGAGCAGGGACCCCCCCCACCAATGTGGGGCTTGATCCTGGGAATCTGGGATCGTGACCTGAGCTGAAGGCAGACACTTAACCAACTGAGCCACACAGGCACCCCTCAAAATCCAGTTTTTATTGAAATTCCAGGTTCTTAGCAGCAGCTAGTTAGGCAGGATAGAGGGCAGGAAGGAAAGCAGGGGCCTTGCTGGTTGTGGGTGGTCTACTCTCCCATTTCCTTCTCCCTCTCTAGCCACTCTTTTTTTAAAAAAAGATTTTATTTATTTATTAGAGAGAGAGACAGTGAGAGAGAGAATGAGAGAGGAGTGGGTCAGAGGGAGAAGCAGACTCCCTGAGGAGCTGAGAGCCCAATGCGGGACTCAATCCTGGTCCTCCAGGATCACGACCTGAGCCAAAGGCAGTTGCTCAACCAACTGAGCCACCCAGGTGCCCTCTAGCCACTCTTTTTCCAGTCACTACTTCGAGGCCAGGCCCGTGTCCCGTTGTACAAGTGGGCCCAGCTTAGGCTCAGTTTAGAACTCTGAGCACAGTGACAGATGAACAGCTATAGGTCTGGAGTCTGGGAGTTGTTGGGTGGGTAGGAAGCACCCAGCATTTTCAGATCTGGCTTGGTTGTTAGGGTCCTCTCCTTTCTCCTCTTGGCACCTTCCCTCGTTTTCCTTCGGAATGTGCGGTGCCAGGGTTTATAGGCAAATCAAGGCAAACACTGAATTCACAGAGCACTTTCTGGCTCCTTGGCTCTGGGGATGTGGGTACAGGTGGGACACAGCAGTCTTGCCCTCAACATTTGCCTCTTCCCACTGCCTCCAGATGAAAAGTTCTCGAGCATCTCCTTCCCCACTTCAGGCAGTGTTCTGCTCCAGAATCCACAATGACTTTTTAGGGGGCCTTGGGCCAGGTGAGATCCTTTAGTAAAGCTCTTCATATTGGGCTCTTCCTATAATCCAGCTTTATTTATTCATTCATCAACATACATTTTCTGAGTACCTACAGTGCACTAGTCACTGGCCTTGGCACTGGACATACGAAGTGGGTGAGACAAACATGGTTCCTGCCCCCGTGGAGCTAACAGTCTAAAAAGAGAAGATGATATTATTACAAAAGCATTATGATTACTATTAAGCAAGGATGATCGTGGGAATCCTGTACTGGAGGGTGTTGTGGGAGTATGGGACGGGACACTTGGTCTTAGCTGCTTACCTGCCCCGGACATCATGGCTGGAATGTGGCACTTCTAGAACCCCAGCTCTCCGTCCACAGACCAGAGGTGGGCCCCTGAGCTCCTTCCCGGGGGCTCGCTACATCCAGGCTTGCCTCTTGCTCGAGGTCTCTGATTTCCTGTTGGGAAGATACTGGAGATAAGAAGGAAGGTGAAAACCTACATTCCCTTGACTTCATCCACAGTACGTGCAGTCCAGCTCTGGTCCTGGGAAGAAAGGAGGGGCTCTGTTCTGAGGTGGCCCCATTGTAAGTCCTTGATGTTTCCTTGATGAAAGCCAGGGCCAGCACATTGAAGAGCCTGGAATGAACAGACTTGGCTGGGTTGGGGGGGAAGGGTGTGGGGCCAGTGCTGATTTGCTTGGAGTTGAGCTTGTTATTATAGAGCCCTGAAAGATTCATCAGCTTCCGGAATCAAAGTCGTGAGGTCAGCTCAGACGCCAGGCCCAGCCCAGGCAAGCCACCCTCAGGCAGGGAAGCTCTGCCCACACAGTCTCTTTCAATCTGTCCATACCTCATTTCTTTTTCTCCCAAATGAAGATCAGTCTAAACAGCCCATAGGTCAAGGACAAGTACCCCTGGAGAGTCTGGCCAAGTCCCTACTTCCTGCCAGTCACTCTCTTGGCTCAGGTTCGAGTTTAACAAATACAGACTTTTGGGTCCCCGTTCTGTAATCGGGTTTAACAGTTCAGAAGAGGAGTGGTCTTTTGACCATTTAGTTTCTTACTGTAATAGAACCCAACTTTTTTGGTATCTGTGTTCCAATTTTGGGAACAGGGAACAGATATTTGCTGAGAAAGGTAATCAGATTACTCTTAACTGGTTGTAGAGCCTTCTTGGACTGCTTAAGGGACAATTCTGTAAAGGAGTAAATGCAAACAGGCCACGCTCAGGATCATTTGTACAGACACACATAGTCTGTTCAAGGTGTTTTACTCGTAGATTATAAAGGATTATAAGGATGGGAGCATTTTTAGGAGGAGAGATGAGAGAATTACCAGAAGAAAGAAATGGAACCACACCAAAGTCAAAGTGGTTTAGGGCAGAATCAGATGGGAGCTCAGTGTGTTGAAATTAAGTGTTTGGAGTGGAAACTTCCCAAGTGCACAGGGACACACACACTTAGGCACTCTGCTTTCCTGAGGACATCCGTCAGTGTCTCCCTCTCTTCTAACTTCTACAACTGGAAGAAATCAGGACGTGACTACAGGGTTTCCTGCGATGTAAGCATACCTACCCCAGCCTTTTCCGCAGGCATCTCAGGAGCCCAGTGGGGACAGAGACGGAGGTGGCCCTGGGCTCTATTTCTGCATAAAATACGGTGCAGCATTCCTCCCTCTGAACTGAATCTATTGTTCCAGAGAATGGGTTTCTTTTCTATTCATTCATTCATTCATCCATTCCACAGTCTTTACAGCAGTCCAGGCACCGTGAGAGTACCTTGAGGCACTGCCCTCCTGGCAGTCCAGTAAGATAATTGGTTCTTTCCTCCTCGTTTCCAAGCTCCTGGGCGCTAGAAAGCTGGACTCACAGCCTAGCCCAGCCCGTGCGTGGCACCGAGCCCATGTTTGGGAAAGGAAAGTTAGATGAATGAAATCAGACTATTCGGTGGGTCTCTGCCGATTAGTTGCTGGTGTGGGTGCGGGTGCGCTTGAATTTTTATTTATGAAGGGAAAGTTTAAGTTGCAGAAACAAAGCAGAACACAACTTTTAACCATCAGTACTAAGACTCGAGTTCCGCAGGAGGACGCGGGCACACAGATTGTACAGAACATACCACACACACACACACACACACACACACACACACACCCGTCACGCAAACATTCCTTCTTTCACGCTCCAGCTCGCTCTTTTTACTCCTACTTCCCTTTCCCTCCTCTCCCGGATCAAGCGTTAATCTGCGAATCTCTGACCGCAAAAGAAAAAAAAAAAAAAAGGTGGGTGGGGGGATCCCGAAGTAGCAGAGCAAGGGAGGAGGAGGTGGAGAAAGGCGGGGAGGAGGAGGAGGAGCCCTGCGAACCAGAGTCAGAGGGACTGGTGGCTCCGGCGAGAGTGCAGCCCCGGGGGGAGCGGCGCTCCAGGCTGGGAACCCGTCAGCCCGCCCACCCGCCAGGCGTCTTCAGCGCCCGCCCGCTCGCGGGCCTGCGCCCGGCCTGCTACACCCGGAGCTGGGGCCGCAGCTAAGGGGCGCTCGGGCCAGGGGCGCCCCTCCGGGTGAGCCAGCCGCGCTGCCGGGCTGGTTCCCCGCGCCAGCGCCCGGAATGCCGTTCTACAGGCGCACGGTGGTGCCCCAGCGCCTGTGCCCGCGCAACCCGCCGCAGCCGCTCGCTGAGCTCCGCGACGTGAGCCACCTGGCTGCGCTCAGCCTGCTCCGGCAGCTCGCCGACCTCTGCGGCCACTCTCTGGCTCTGCTCGAGGACCTCGAGGGGCACCTGCTGGCCTTGGGGCGCCGCACCGACAGCCTGTGCCGACGCACCGTGCGCCTCCGCCGCCGCTTGCCCTGCCGCCTGCTCGGCCCGGAGGACGACGACGAAGAGCTAGGTAAACCGCGCCCGGGCGGCTCGCGGCCCCGCGTCTACCCCGCCTCTGGGGGCGCCAGTGGGCTCCCGGCTCGGCGCCCACCCCCTCCCCGGCCCTCCCTGCCCCTCCTCCTCCCTTCCCTCCCTTCCCTTTCGGGGGTGAGGGGATCCCGTTTCCCTGACTCCCCATCCGCCGCTCTCCCTCTGGGACTTCCTGCTGCTGGAGCCGGCCGCGCCGTCCCGAGGGACCTGGTGCCTTCTGGGGACCCGTTTTCTGGGGACCTAGGGGAAGAAGGCGGGGGTGGGGGGGGACCCGCGGGGTTCCTGGGAGCCACTGGGTCCGGGACGGCTTCGGCGCGGTCCCCAGGCCCGGGGCGTCCCCGTCTCCGCGGCGTCGGGAACCAAACGGCCGCACCGCCGGTGTCTTCGCACGGGTCTCGGAGCTCGGCGGCTTCGGAAAGCGCGCCCGGCCACCTTTGCGGCCCCAGGAGCTTAGCGGCGGTGCCCGCTGGATTTAAACCTGCAACTTCGCGCGCAGCCTGTTCGCCGCTCGCACTCAGAGGAGTGTCGGAGCGCCCTCCCGCCTGCTTCTCCCCGCGATTTCAGGGTTGGCGATTTCAGGGTCGTTGCTCCTGGAGTGGCGGGAGGGGTGTGGAGGAAAGGAGGGACTGCCTCCGGCTTCGCTGATTCTTGTGCCTAGGGTCTCTGGCTGCACAGATTTGCTTGAGAGGAGCACTTAAAGTGACTGTCATTAGTTTCATGATTTGTTTAGGAATTAGCCATGCCTGAGAAACTCATGCCCTGGCTGAGAATGCAGTACCCTGGAGATGGTGCCAGGGCTGTGCGAGCCTTTGACCCTTACTACTTTGGACTTCCGAGTTTCGAATGGGGAATCCTCACTTGGTGGAAATGCACTGCTCCCTTAGAGTGTGGAACTCGTGCTGAAAGCAAAGGGGACTGAATATGCTGGAAAAGCCGACCACAGCTGGGGCATGCCAGGTACCAAGGCCAACTGGCACCCCCAGAAAGGGGCGAGAAGGCACAATGTGACCAGAAAGTTTCAGATGGAGGCAGAAGGTGGCTATGGGTTGACTTTTGAGGGCAAGACTCCCCTGCCTTGGGGAAGGATTGGCTGGGCCAGCTCCTCTCAGTTGCAGGCACCACCTTGTCCTGACCCTTTCTGGCAGGACAGGAGTCAGAGGTCCTGCGACCCCTCTTCAGAGAGGCGTGGGACTTCTGAGATAGATGGTGGAGGTCACTAGTGGAGAAAAATGAACTGGGTCCTGGGTGAGCAGGAAGGTGGAAGACACAGATGACTGCCAGATGGAATGTAGACATAGGGTGAGAACCCTCTGCATGGCAGGGGACCAAGAGAGCTGGGGCCCTGGGTCTGATTAGTTCTCAGTTGACAAAGAGGGTAAGAAGGTCACTGTTGATTTCTTTTCTTTTCTTTTCTTCTTTCCTTTTCTCTTCTTCCTCCCTCCCTCCCCCCTCTTTTCTCTCTCTCTCTCTCTCTTTTTCTGTCTCTCTTTTTTTTTTTGCCTGGGTCCCACTGACTACCAGGATTAGCCCAGGAGAAATTTGGTAAGTCAGCTCAGGGAGTAGTTTTCAGAATGCCCACACAGCTTACAGAGAGCCACCTACTGAGTTCAGCAGGGTAAGATAAGGACAGAAAGGAGGCTCTGCTTTACCAGCTTGGACCTTTCCATGCACTGAATTGGCGAGCCCTTTCCACCTGAGGGAAGGCATGGCTTCACCAAGTCACCGTTGGGACCTAGACCTCTTCAGTAATCTGCTGGTTTAGAAGGAGATGGATTTGTGCAATGGGTATCTTTTCAAGGAAGGGAGCAATTCTGAGGAGAAATGGCATTGGTTTGGTTTCTTTGAAGTTCGTGGGAGCCAGGAGAGTGGCCGTCTCTCGTCTCTGACGTGTCCACTTGCCTCTGAGAGGTCCATGTTTCTGAGGGGTCTCTGCACCAATGGAACCCAGCTCCCTTAATCTGGCAAGAACTTCTGGCTTTCCATTTTCTGGTCTAATGCCCTACCCTAGACTCCCCTTGAGGATCCCATGGCACACTTTTCTCTTCAGGTGCTTTGACTGCGTATCACTTAAATTAGGCCTTCCGGGCAATGATCTGAGCATTAAGTGCCAAATGCAAGGAGAGATAGGGAGCAGTCAGTGCACCATCTGGCCAGCCCCTCATCACTCAGGTATAAGCTCCAAGAAGGTGTTCAGCAGGCTACATATTATATTTTGACCCCAAATAAATATCCAGCCCGCCTTTTAAAAATTTTTTTACTGTTGTCAGGTCTTGTTCTTTTTTTCTTCCCAGTGCCTTTTCTCCTAGCCCTCCTACTCCTTTACTGACCATCTTGCTGGTGGTCAGCACTCCCCAGTCAACATTTTACCCTATGTATCCTCCATCTGGCTGGATTCCCGCCCCCCCCCTTCTTCCTTTAGCTATTTCTTTGACCACGGGGGCAGGCAAGAACTGGGTAGGAGGAAAGAAGGTTTGGAAGCCACATAACTGGAGTGAATGACACCTGACAGGCCAGCAGCTTGTAGCCTCCCTGCAGGGGACAGCTTGGCCGCCACCTGCAGGAGCAATGGCAAGTCAGACTGGCCCAGAGCCTTCAGGCTTGCAGAGACCAGACCACATGCTTCTACCGGGCCCCTGGGAGGCAGCAGAGGGAGGAGAGGGAGATGAAGGAGGAGAAAGTTGATGCTGAGGGAGTCTGAGGTGCTCCTCTCTACAGCCAGGGGTCACAGCCCTGCCATCTTCAAGGTTACAAGGGTGGGACTGGGCTGGGCCGGTTGCTTGGCAACACCACCTCCTTCACCGAAGGCTGTTCTTCGGTAACTTGAACCCCTTTGAGACTGCCCTAGAAGATCTTGTAACCGGCCCGAGGTGGGGGATGGGAGGGTGGAAGGAGGAGAGGGCATGCTGAAGGATTGCACCAAGCTCCTGAGGTTATGGATCTGTGGCTTTTGCCACACCCGTGGCATGGCCCCGCCTATAACTGGAGTCTCTCCTCGAAACTGGCTTTGAATGTGACCTGTTTTATTGCATTTGGGTCTTCATCTCAAGGATGGCATGGTCAAAGCCAGAGGGAAATAGCTCCATGCCTGCTGTCAGATGCTGAGTCAATCCAAGCTTTCCAATTCCTCCCTCAGAGATCTAGTTAATGTTTGTAGGTGCTTAAATGATCATTACAAAAGCAATCAGCCTGTTGGCCTAGGGGTATAATATCTCCGGAGCGAAAAAGGAAGTCACCAAAGCACTAGATACATGGAGGTATGTTTAATAACGCTGGGGAGCTCTTGTGTTACGCTAGCCTATGAACTTGCTATGGGGAAAGATGCTCTGTTCCTTCTTGCAATTATTTTGGCTTGAATACAGCCAGTTGGGTCAATGGTGGAAACTCCCCTCTTCATCTTTATGTAAAATTCCCACCTCTTGGTTTTTCAGCTTTGTGGCAATTTTGGCTCCAAATCAGAAAGGACAGCTGGTTTATTTATGTTTAAATCATCGTTCCAGGGCAGGAGGAGACGATTGTAAATCTACATGGAGATGAGAAAAATGAGAGCTGCACCTTTAGACTGCAACCAGATTTCCCATTCGATGAAGTGTCATGGACCCTGAACCTGACTGTCACAGCTACTGAGGCGGGGATGCGGCCTGCTTGAGTTTGATGGAGCAGGGGGAAATTCCGGGACTTGGAACAGGCACTTGCCAGAGCTCACTTTGTTTCTGTCCTACCTGTCATCCCCAGAGACCCTTGGGACACTGGCTTGACAGGGTGGGGCAGGCAAGCAAGTAAGCCCATTTTCTTTTAAATACCATGAAATTCCTGGTCTGCCCACGTGGTATTTCCATGTGTTGAAAACGTCTTCCCTGGAAATTTGGACACCAAAATGTCTACTAGAATTTCCTCCACCTCAGAAACAAGAAATTTAATCTTTTTTTTTTTTTTTTTTTTTTTTGTTGTTGTTGTTGTTGTTGGACAAACGAGCAGCTAAGGTGATAAAAGCGTCAGGATGACGGAATAGTGGAGTAGAGGAGAAGATTCAAGTTACGGCTTTTGGGCTCAACTTTGACCTTTATGCAGTTGACTGTGTGTCAGGAGGAGAGGGGTGAATTTGCATCATCTGCCACGCACTTCTCTGGTTTGGGTGGAGTGGGTTTATACAGTGTGGCACCAAAAAGTCGGTCATTAACCATTGTCGGTGTCCCGACACTTGACCACTGAGGCCCAGAAAAAGGAAGGGACTTGTCCAAAGGTAGCCAGCTGGGTCAAGCCCATTAATAGCCCTAAGTGCTGCAAAGATTATAATGTCTCCCCATATGTAATTCCAAATGAAAGAAATGCTAAACCTTCAGATAAAGTGTTATTGGCGGGAGCACCTGGGTGGCTCAGTCGGTTGAGTGCCCGACTCTTGATCTCAGCTCAGGTCTTGATCTCAAGGTTGTTGAGTTTGAGCCCCATGCTGGGCGTGGAGCCTACTTAAAAAAAAATAAATAAAATGTTATTTTTGAGATTACTCAGAGTTCCACAGGTATGTTGAAATTAAAATGGCTTATAGAGTTTTTTCATTCTTTCATACTCCTGTTGCCGGGGACCTAAGCATATACTTAATCTCCCCTTTGAGGAATGTGGCACCTGCTAGGTCACACGGCAGATAAATGGCAGGAAGCCTTGATCTAGAAGCCAGGCCTCCTGACATCGAAGCCAGTGCTCTGTGCCGCTAAGTTCAAAACCAGCTGTTCCTTGAGAGTCACCACCCTGGCAGTTTTTCCAGCTGGAATTTGTCCAGGATAATGAATTACTCCTGCTACCTTTGCCAACTGAGGGATGTTCTAAAGAATGAGCTCCCTATGGTTTCTGTAGTTGGGACTTGGTGGGTGAGCTAAAGGTGGAAAGGAGGAAGGAAGGTCAGCCTTGCATCCTGTAGGGGATAGATGTGAGGCAACAGGCTTCCTTGTTAAAACGTAGTCTCCTTTAAGCTTTCAGTGGGAGATA